CATAACTATAGCCCAGTATTGGAAGAACAAAAATCAACCTACTCTCCAACGTTGGCAAAACAAACTTTGGGAGCACTTTATATATGGTAAAATTGTCTCTCACCAAAAAAGTTTTCAAGCAACTTGGTTCCCAGTGGTGAACTATCTAGCAGAAGAAGAAGTGATTCCAAACAACTCTTATTACAAAGATCTGTTATATTTTTAAACGGGCTCTTAAGGGTTGAGAATGTTGATTATTGCATAGCGTCAATATATGTTATGAATGTACTGTTGTATATATTGTTCAAAATAAAAAACACTTATTCCAAAAAAAACCCAACACAACCCACATACAAATACTCCAGGGCAACGCTGTACTGACTGCAAAGTCACCCCTGAATGGCCATACATCGATGCAGAAGGTACCATAAAACCCGATGATCAAAGGAAGTGAAAGCGGCATGCAATGCAGAGGGGGATTTCTGTTCCAAGGTGGGTTTGGTAAAACGACAGAGGAGGGGAAAAGCCAATGCAGAATGGCCCAATGAACGAGGTTTCCACCCATCTAGCCTGAGTTGGTGGGAGCCTCCAAGGCAGAATCTCTGAAGATGACCAGAGTGGAAAGTGTGGTTCATATCAGATAAGGCATTCCTTAAGGGATGCTAACCCTAAGCCACATAGGGATTGAAATATTGGCAGGGGGCAGGCTTGTTTTCCTTTTGGGTACCACATGGTGATGGAAAGAGGCAAAAAGGATTGTCCACCAGCACAGCTTCAAGGAGGGCCTACGAATGGGGTCATCAGCAAGGAATTGGCAAGGTTCCCCTAGTCTGCATGTGGATCCAACTATGCAACCCCAGTATTCCCCAGGAGATGTCCAGGCCTTAGCTGGAGGCTGGCAACCCTAGGAGGGGTGAGGCTTGGCACCTCTCAGCAGCAAGGAGGAACCAGGTTGGGAGAGATGTTGGCTGTATTTGGAGGTAGTGCGTAGTTGCCCAATGCCTGCTTATTGTAACCGGCACTCTAAGGGAATGGGCATTTAATACATATTCTCACGGGTATGCTGGTGTCCCATGTCTTGACTCTGACATATGTGGGGCAACAGGAGACTGTGCCTTTTGGTAGATCAAGATTCTTTCACTGCGGTGTTTGACCAAAGTGAGGATCACACGGGAACCAACCCTTTGAAATACGAATACAAAATACTTATGCAATTCACTGCTATTGATGACATGGTCCCATTAGAATCTTTGAAATGTTTTATCATGCACCCAGGAAGGCTGGTCATGTACACACCGGGAAAACAGATGTGGATGAACTGAACTGAACTGAACTGAAAGCTATGGCCAGCTGTCCCTGCTTAAGTTTTGAAACCAGGGCTATTTTGGGGCAGGAACGCACAGGAACGGAGTTCCAGCTGGCTTCAGAGTTGGTCATGCCCACTGCAGCCAATACCTCTGCGTGTGTGGGTACAGAGGGAAGGCCTGGAGGGTGCCCCCCCCCCAGCGACTCCGAGGAGGGTGGGCCAGGGGACCCCTGGAAGGATCGGGGAGGCATTTAAATGTCTCCCTGTGCCTTCCCCGACCTTTCCAAGGGCCAGCTTGCCCAGACTCCCCACAGCCGCAGGACACCCAGGCAAGCCAAGGGAATGCATGGGATGTGGCCTAATATGCTAATGAGCTGTGCGGTCAGGGGTGTGGCCTAATATGCTAATGAGTTCCTGCTGGGCTTTTTCTACAAAAAAAAGGCCCTGTCTGAAACTAATTTTAGAAATTCCTCTAGAATTCAGGAGGCATACAAGGAAGAGCAAAAGAAACCCATGAAAACAACACGGGAACAAAACAGGGGAAATTCAATTAGTCCTGAGATAAAGTATATGTGGGATATAAATGGTTTTGGTGATAAACCACTTCCTCTTTCTTTCTTTTTTTGTATGGGTCCATGATAGACTTTCCTCACTGTGTCTCTAGCACAGTAATACGTGGCCGTGTCTGCAGCTGCTATTGAGCTGAGCTGAAGGTGGAGTTCACTGGTGGAAGAATCAACCAAGATGGTTATACGGGACTGGAATGCAGGAGCGTAATTTGTGCTGTCAAGTAATGGAAATATCGCCCCCATCCATTCCAGGCCTTTCCCGGGAGGCTGCCGGATCCAGCTCCAAGCATAATCATTAATGCCATCACTAGCATCAGAGAAGGAGACGGTGCATGTCAGGCTGAGGCTCTCTCCGGGCTTCACCACTTTGGATCCCGGCTGGCCCAGCTGCACTTCAGACAGGACGCCTGTGCGAAAGATCCTTCTAGCCATGGGGCGGTGGTGCACCCCCATCAACAGTATGATGAGGAAGCACACAGGAGCATGGGTGAATGGTCAGTTCTCCCTCACCAAGTACTTACAGAATGGACCAAGACTGAATGTAATCAGAGAGTAGATGAACCACTTCATGATTGCTCCTCCAGGTTTTTCTTATGATTTGGAAATGGTCAGGTTAGAGCTCCCAGAGACAGCAGGTCTCTTAGATCTGTGGCTCTGTGCTTAAAAAGCAACAAGTTGAGGAGGATAGAAAAAAACAGGGAGAGAAAGTCAGATCTCCCTCACAAAATACTTACAGAATGGACAAAGAATTAATATAATCAGAGAGTAGATGAACCACTTCATGATTACTCCTCCAGGTTTGTGTTTTTTTTAATTATCTCGAAGTAGTCAGGTTAGAACTTCCAGAGACAGCCGGTTTCTTAGATCTGTGTCTCTGAGCTTAAAAAGCAAACTCTTCTGTGGGAATTTGCATGTGTTTGTCAGTCTGAAGATTTAAGGCTGCCTGGCTTGAAGCGGCATCAGAGGCTTGAGGGGATCTCTGCTGCCATCTGTTGGATAAGGAGAATATATCTCATGTTGGAAGATTTTCAGAAGGTTGACCTAAGAGGGCTTATCTACACCTTAGATTACTAACTGGTTGATTAGTTATTCCCGCTCAGAAGAGAACTTTGGGAACTATAGTTTCTCATGCATTGGGTGTAAACTAAATACCTTATTAACACAAAAGTAAGAGGAGCTGCGGTGGCTCAAGTGGTTAAGATGCTGAACTGCGGGCTGTGGAAGGTCAGTAGTTCAACAGTTCGAGACCAGAGCGTGCCGCATGATGGAGTGAGCTCCCGTCTCTAGTTCCAGCTCCCGGCAACCTAGCAGTTTGAAAGCAAGAAATTGCAAGTAGATAAATAGGGACCACTTCGGTGGGAAGGTAACAGCGTTCCGTGCGCCTTGGTGTTTAGTCATGCCAGCCACATGATCACGGAAACGTCTTCGCACAGCGCTGGCTCTTCGGCTTGGAAACAGAGATGAGCACCGCAACCCTAGTGTCGGATTCGACTGGCTTTCGAGCAAGGGAACCTTTACCTTTACCTTAAGACATGTAAGATGATGCTCCTAAAAAAGGTTTAACCCTTTAGACAGAACTGGTATGTGAACTTAAGATGGACCCTTGTTTTTCTTGAGGATAGGTGGGGAGGGGGGAACCCTAGTCTTTCTTTCTAGTAAACATTATTACTAACAGAGGATTATCAGTTCCTCTGTCAATGAAATTCATGAAAATTTCCAGGGGAGGTCAGGATCTTTAAGGTGGTATAAAACCTCATTTGTGATGTTGGCCTGCCCTCAAGTTTCTCCCTAAGAAAGTGTCTAAGATGACTCTCACATATTTACTTATTACAGTTTTGTCCCAACAGGGATCCCAGGGCATTCTGCAGGCCTTTCTCTGAATTGTACCTACAGGAACCCTGCAAGGCAGCTTTCTCTTATTGTGAGAGACTGTAACTCCTCTACCTCATACCTGAGCAGAGATTTGAACCTTGGCATGTCCATTTAAAATGCCATAGTTCTACACTCCTTCAACAACATGACAGTATCATCAATGGCCATATATGTATTTATTTTCTCCTCATTCCACTTCGTATACCTCAGTGCATGTATGGAAATCATGAGGCATGGTATCTCTTTCATTGAATTGACCTGGGTTTTGGAAGGCACACTGTACAAAATCTTTGAGATGTGAAATGGTTGAAGGGTAGTAAGGACTAAGGGATAAGACAGCAGCAGCATCAGCATGTAAGAGACTAGGTACCAATTTTGAGTGTAGTTTGGGGGCATGACCCTCAGTTTTAGATAAATAGGAGGGAAGGTCAGAAAGAAACAAGTTGAACAGTAGAATCTAGAGTTTGGACCACGACAATCAAATACTGGCTTCATCTCTACTTCCACTTTCCACCCAATAGTCTGATTTCCCTCTTACCCACTGATCCTTTTAGTACTCAGTAAAATCAAGTCCCTCGGTATTGACTTAGACTCGCTGACAAACTCCAACAAATCATATATTTTTCAAATGACTAAAAGGAGAATATTAGATATTGATTCTCAGTTAATAACCGCTGGAGCAAAGGGCACGTGTTTACCTCAATTTCTGGGCTTTAACCTTCCCCAAAACTTTATGCTTCAGTATTTTTCAAATTTAATAAATCCTTGGCAACGCCGAGCCTTTATGTTGGCCAGGTTCAATATATTCCCCTCATTTTTGGTTTCTGGCAGGTACAAGGGTATCCGTTACGAGCAGAGACTGTGCAGGTGCGGCAAAAACCCTGATTCTATACAGCGTATTCTATTAGATTGCCCGTTTCACACTCCCCACCAATACCACCTGATTAAACCATTTCTCCCAGCCCCCAATCTTATGTTAAATAAACGGATAGAGCCTTTGTTACCTGACAAATGCTCCTCAGTCACCGAATGGGTGGCGGAGTTCCTGGCCCTAGCAGCAAAAGAGATAGAAACCAAAAGTGGTAAAAGTGCTAGATAGGGGAAGATTACGTGCCTACTCTTCTTAGTTAAGATCCAACTGTACTTAGTTTAGGCTACCTCGTTTGTTTTGGAGAATTTCTGTAGACTTTTTTTAAATTTCTACCTCAAATCTCGCTCAGGTGTTTTGTTGTATCATACCTTGTTCTGTCAATAAAGGTTGTTTGTGTTGCGTGTGTGGCTGAGGGGTAGTGATTCTTAATGTTTTCCAGGATCCACCGGCTGGAAGCCAACATAGCAGGGCTGGAAGTGATATACCAGCAATGATGGTGGGCAGGGAGGCCTGTCCCCATGCAAAACTTCAGGGCACGAGAGAGCTTTAGGGAAGTTGTATGGGAGGTGGGAGCTGCGGTGGCTCAAGTGATTAAGACGGTGAACTGCAGGCTGTGGAAGGTCAGTAGTTCAGCAGTTCGAGACCCGGGTTGCTGCATGATGGAGTGAGCTCCCGTCTCTAGTTCCAGCTCCTGCCAG